GTGCTGTACGAGAGCCCCGACAGCCACGGTGCAGCCGGCGGGGAGAGCCAGGAGGGGCCTGGCGAGGAGGGGCCGCCCGGCTTCGCCGCCCGCTTGGAGAAGATCGTGGACAAGAGCAGCAAAGGCAAACACGTCAAGGTCTCCAACTCGGGGCGCTTCAAGGAGAAGAAGAAAGTGCGGGCGACGCTGGCCGAGAACCCCAACCTCTGCGCCGCCGGTGAGCGGGAGGAGAAATGACCCGGACGGTTGTCACCCTCCGGTGTCACCACCACCGGTTGCTCAGGTCAGCTCGGCTCCGTCCCTCCCGGGGACACCGGACCATGGGGCTGTGGAAGGAGAAAGGACTTTTTAAGGGAGAAGCAAGGACTCTGTTTAATCGCAGCACCCCAGGGGCACTGGGAGAACTGGGGAGCAGAGCAAGGTGCTGTCTGTCCTTCCCAGCACCCCGAGGCTGACTGGTTCATACTGGGATGAGGATGCTTGGCCCAGTTTGGTTGCTTGCCGTGGACCACCAGAGCCCATCGTTCACTCAGCTCTGCCCAAATCCTGATCCTCTTGAAGGGGCGAGACTGGGGGACCCCCTCATCTCCCAAACCCAAGGAGCTGCATGGCCACAGGCGGAGCCACCAATGCCACGTTCTTGCCAGCAATGACCCCCAAACCAGGGGTCGTGACAATTCCCTGCACCCTGGGAACAAACGGGGACCATGGGGGACTCTGGGCTTCCCGACAGGAGCCGTATTCCTGCTCGGATCCGGGAATCACTCCCAGGAGGGCAGAGCCAACCATGGAGTGTGGTGCTGGAGCCACCCCCGGTGTTTGTTCGGGTTGCGGGAAGCTGAGCCCTCACGAGTGCTGATAATTAACGGCTGTTAATAAACCAGGGCTGAAGCAAAGGCAGCTCAGGGGTGCGGGCAGGGGGAGCTCAGCAGACCCCCAGTGGGGAGCAGCGCCAGCCCTGCCAGCGCAGGGAATCCCTGTCCCCACAGAGGAGGGGACACCCAGGGGTGGCCGTAACCAGCGCTGCCAGCCTGGGGGTGTCCTCTCTGCCGAGCAGGGTGCGGCC